ATCCTTAGCAAGATAAAACTGGAAGTCTCCCTATTCAGCAAGGAGACTCCCTTTGATTAGGACTCTTGTAATCTCCTATTTAAGGAGACCCCATTATTGAATKAGAHABSAAATTATTCAGTCAAGAGTGAGTTAGGAGAGTTGGTGATCTCTTGGACAAATCATCGAAGGTGCCAAGATAGGTTCATCAGCAGGAAGGAACAAGGGAAAACAGGAGGTTTTCCCCGTGGACCGACCCGTGACGAGATCCTATTCCCGGGCCCTCAACATAAAACAATCCAATGTATTTGGATTTGTACACTAGAAAAGCCTTCTTATTGCCTTTGAATAGGAAAGTGAACCTCTCAATCAACTAAAATGTGCTATCTCTACCTTAATAACATTACTTGAATTAGTTGTTTTTCTTGCAAATTAAGGACTTAGGATCTCTAACTAAATACAAAGTTGGGTTCTCGTTCTCAATAACTTTCATTTAGATCACTATGTAACGCTCAGGTATTAAACTTGAAGCATGTACTTAAAAAACAGTTTTTATTTGATCATTTGATCATGGGAAGTGCTTCTCTGAACAATCTGCAATTAATCCTTAAGGGGTTGCCATCATAAACAAATTTGCTCAACTCTTGGCTTCCTTTCTTTTTTTCTTTTTTTTTCTCACCCCTCCCCAAGAAAATAAATGAGTAATAAAATCAAAACAACATCTAAACCAAAATGTTTAGTCAAAGGTCTTCTTGGCATATTTTTAAGGTGTTGACCATATTAGATGTTTAAACATTTGGAGAGTCTTTTATAAGCCAGAATGTTCTATTTCTTTTCCCAACAAGTTCTGATAAAAATAACTTCGAAGATCTTTTCCATTCCTCCAGCACATGAACTAAAAAATTAGAAAATTCTACATGCCTCATGCTTACCGTTATCAAGATTAATTGTGTATTTGTATTTATTATTTTTTCAAGGATTTAAAATACGAAAAGTTAATAACTCAATCTGCATACAACATTGAATAAAATCCTGTCTCCCTTTTTATTTTTAACTTATTCCTTTTTCTGGCATATATAATAATCAAATTTACTAACAAAAACACCTCCCCAAAAAGGGAACAAGAAACACTGAAACAGAATCACATCAAATAAGCATTACAATCAAGGAACTGAATTAATTAAAAAGAAAAAGTAATGAAGTAAAAACCAAAGCAGGCAGCATTTCCATAACATAACAAAAGAACAGAGAAATCCCACGAAAACCCATCAATTTTTTTGTGATCACTTGAACATCAAAACTTGAAGTAACACGATTAGAAAGAAAACCATTATGGCAATCAAGAAGATATGAAGAAATAAGACTTTCACAGAAAAGAAACGCAAGAGAAAATTAGGAGTTGAGCTCATGCCCTGTGTCAACAACCTGGAACACGTTTAGAAGATACGAGAAGAACTCCCGAGGGGAGGAGACGGCAGCAGCAGAAGAGAAAGAAAATGGACCGTGGTTGGTCACTTGGTCGAACAAAACAACTGTCTCTTTCCCTGCATCTCCTTTGTTTTTTCTTTTTCTTTTTTTTTTTTCTAATTTCCCCCATGTAGCTTTATGCCCACATGAAATTCAGATTTGCGCCCCACAAACGCTCCATAGCATATTCCAACCGTGTATTGGGAACATCTCCCACTGACAACATCGGGAGATGTTCTCAATGCACGCTTAAATGTGCATGTGAAGCGTTTGTGGGGCGCTGATGTGATCTCGCCCACATGAGCTTGTCTTGACGTGGATCGATGAACGGAAATTGAAAATAGGATAATAAGCTATCACTTAATGAAGCCGGCAGAAGCCCGAAATGACCAAAATACCCTCAACTGCTTCAACATCAAAGGACTATCCGAATGTCTTGTTTTGGTATTTTCTTCACACGTTGAGGGTATTTTAGTAAAAAAGTTGATGTGATTAATGCAACTTTTCCTGGGAAAATGATGGATAAGTCATAAGTGAGTGCTGGATAACCCATTATTGACTTATCACATTGATTGGGCAGTTAAGACCCAGTCCATGTCCATCCAAGGCCCGGAGGAGAGTACCGGAGACGAGAACAGTGTTAGTTGGGGATGGGCCCAATTTTAAGGCCCATGCCAGAAAATGTGAGGCGAAGGTTGGCTGACACTTGAGTTTCATTAATTGCGTATATTTATTGTAATAAATGGGATTTGATAATCCTACCAAGAATAGGGTAAAAAGGAATCTGACTTCTGGATGATATAATAAATATCAAATGTACACGTGGACTCTTCTTGAGTTCCGTTGTATTTAAATCAGAGGTATCTCAGTTAAGCCCATAGAGTTTGGGGGTTGGGAGCTTTATAGATCAATCTGTTACATAAGGGAAAGGAACATGACTAGTTAAGCTCTAGTCCTTTGTTGAGTTCAATTTCAACTTTACTGATATATAATTAATCTGATCAATTGTATTAGTTTAATATCACTAAAGGTCCGTTTGGTTTGTAGGAATAGGGGTCTGGAATCGGAATTTGAATGGGCTATTCCGATTCCAACTGTTTGGTTGGATGGAATTTGAATCCATTCTCATTCCTGCTGGAATGGCATTTTCTCATTTGAGGGAATGGTTATTCTCTGCCTCTCCTTTGGGAATGAAATCTCATTCCTGCTGATTTTAATTCCCATTTCCATTCATGTTTGAACCAAACAGACTATGGGAATGGACCATTCCGATTCCGATTCCGGAGAATTTCGATTCCAATTTCGACTATGAACCAAATGGACCATAAATTCCAGATTTTGTTCTCATAACATTTGCAGTCATGCATTAGGAACATCTTCCCATTAATGAAAACGTACAAGTACGGAGATATTCCCAATGCATGGCTGCAAGTGTTATGAGAACCAATTTTTATAAGGAGTAAATCCATATTCCAATGAGAATAAACATTCTTTGTTTAGTCTAATCCCATTAGCAGAGTTATAGTAAAGACGTTTTTTTTGTTAGAGAATAAATACCTATTTAGGTAGTAAGAAATGGTTTAGGGGCTCATAATTTAATAATGGAAATAAAACTAAACAAAATTCATGTAGCCAATCCTATACAAGTTTATTTTTTTTAATGAACAATGTCGCCAACTTTCTTTGCCTATATTGTTCAATCGACCAAAGGCTTTTTCACCTTGGATCTGCTTGCTCGATTGGTACAAAGCTCATATGAACATGATGATAATTATGGATGGTTTCAAATGGGAAACTAAGAAATCACCAGTTTTGAAATCTCATGAGCTTAAAAGCCTTGACAAAATAAATTGAATTTTACCACCTAAAAACACATTAGGCTAACCAACCGAGGGCTGACTCGTTGGTGTGCTAGCTGGTTTGTTCCAGCGTTGACGCAGAATCAAATCCCGCAACCAGAACTTTGGGAAAAAAAAGGGTTTTGGGAAATTTAGTACAAATACCAAAAAAAAAAAAAAACATATTAGGCTCAAATACAGCTACAATGAGATCTGATTCTTCACAAACAACTTCAGTTTTCAAGAATATTTGGTATGTTTATACCTGATAGCCTTGATCCTAGAATAATTTTCTTCTAAGGGGAAATGGGGTAGACCATAATGAAGCTCCCTTGATTGGATTATGCATGCAACCCCCAAAATTATCCTGTGGATGGATGGTTCTACTGATCACATATATTGCAATGTTGTTAAGACCTAGAAGTAATTTGGATAGGTTAAACATGGGTTGGGTGTTACATATACAGGCTTGGGCTTTTATACATGACATAGGAAGATAATGATGTTTAACTCCAACCCAACACAAGCCCATTCTGTCAAATTCCACCATTGTAATGCCTTTGCACCTTTGATTGTAATGCCTATAAAAGTTGGTGGAATTTCCAGCTACTCTTTGATTGTAATGCCTCACCTAAGAAAACTCCACCAACTTTTATAGGTAAAAGAGTAACATCATTATGATGGAAAGCCATTAAGAAGTTGGCCAACTTTACCCTGATTGAACATATTACAATTTTCGGCTCCCTTTCCTTGAGTTATTTATTTGCACCAGTGCAAATGCATGGGAGTGTCGATGAGAAAATCACAAACTTTGGTTTATTTTTGCTTCCTTTTACTTCAGGTTTTAGTTTACTTTGATCTGCATGCAAACAAACAAAACAAAGTAAAACTTAAACAAACAAATGAAGTTATGCCAGAAAAAATGGCTGTTTCTCTCTCTCTCTCTTTCTGTGGCATGTTAGTTCACATGGACTATATATATATGACAATGATGGTTCTAGATGCAAGGCTTGTGGACTTACGAGTGACAAGGAGAGAGCCTGTGGACAGCCAAAATATTCTCTTTTCTATCACTCTAACACCCTAACATTTTAGACACGTGGCAAACAATTCCAAGTGACTCTTTGGGCATCTTGTAATGATTACTAAGAGGGCGGGCACATGGAATGCTTTGAATTCCATTATCAATGAAGTGAATTTAGTTTTGTCTTTTGATAATGATGTCTATTTTGAATTTCATCTGATAGTTTCTATGCTGATGCAGAAGAAAGTTACTTCTCAAAGGACTTAGAGAGAGAGAGAGAAAAGTGTTTGATTTCATCGATCGATCGAACACATGGCACTAAGGCCTTGGTCATTCATTCAACACCACAACTAGTGCAACCCTGGTTTCTCCAACAGCAGCCAATCATTCTGTTCTAATAAAGAGAAGGTATTTTGTTCAGTTTGTCAATTGGACAGTATCACAACCTGTCATTTCCCTACTCATTTTGGCATTTTGGCTCTCCATGAAGTGGTATATATACTCTACTCCAAATGTTTGGGGTCCATCACCTACAACTATAATGTTCTGCTTATTTTTCTTGGATTTTCCCAATGTTTCATAATTCTTAGCCACTTGAATAATTTATGTTAAAGAAGAATGTTGATTTGATATTTCTATTATAATTAAGAAGAATATCAAGAATTCATCGAATGCCATATTGAGTACTTCACATCAACATGGTGAGTAATTTGTCAAGCGCACGAAATCGCTAGACAATCGTAGAATCATACATCGCTTATCTTGCCCACACACTAAAGAGCAAAATGGACTGACAAAAAGAAACGGTCGACTCTCCATATTTTTTGATGTAAATGTTTCTCTCATCTTTGACCCTACATGTCTCATAAGCTTGAATTCCAGTCCAATCTTTCGTCAATGGCAAAAATGTATAGATTATTGTTTATACCTCCCTACAAAATAGTTTTATATATCTTGCCATGTCACATTTTATGAGGCTAATTTTTTTAAAATTTTCAATTCTTTTACAACCGAGAATAAAGCATATAAGTCAACCCCATATAATTGAGACAAGGCTTAGATGATGATGATGATGAAACATATAACTAAGTTCCACAACTAAGACCATGGATCCTAGAGCAATCAAACTGTCCAACCTTTCTAAGCCCCAAAGGGTGGCTCCCAAATGCTATTGTACATATCAATTGGTCTATATATATTTTGTGTTTTCAGCTTGATAATTGAGAAACAGGCATGTCTTCTACCTAATTCTCATTATTTCACATTTTGATGAACTTTGGTTCTAATACAATATTTATGATACAATGCGATATGTTTAAACCTTGGTGGCTTTAAGGTTGAATTATTCATGAATCAGGTTAAACTGGTTTAATTAATTAATCATAAACCTTAAGTATTAAAACTTAAAAAAAAATCAAATAACGCTTATCATTAAAGCAACCAAGTAATTATCACCATCATTGCCATTTCTTGTTTGGTACATCTATTATGGCCCCATTGTCTGCCTAGCAAAAAGTTCTTGGCCCTGATTGAGGACATAGCCATCATGACTTCTCTGCCTGTCTGGCAAATGGTCCTTATTAGGGGTGATCACGAGTTGGGCCTTAGCATGTGGTATATGGGCTTATATGTAAGCTCCGGCCTGATTCATCCCACATAGGACAAGGCTTACACATAAGACATGGGCTCTCATGAGTCCATTTTATCTAGTATAATAGCCCATTTTGGATCTGGAAATTAGGCATCGGCCCAAGCAACGGGCTTAAAATGTGCCAAGGTTCTTCCAAAGGTTTTCATCAGTTCCACATATCACCTCTCCTCGTATGGTACCTTTCAGCCCATTAATATTCTGCCACGTGGCTACATAAAGCCACTTTCTTGTATGATCAATATCCGAAAAGAACACCTATCAATTAGGCTGGTCATAGAATCAATTGCTAAAGCTAAAATTTTGATAATGAAATCAAACAATCATGGAAAACGATCAAAATTTAGGTATATTTGTCTGTGTGTTTGTGTGCATGTATATCTTGTAGGTGGCTTATAATTTGAGGGTATAGATTGAATAACATTAGAATTGTGTTTGGATAAATTTCATAATATGTGCTTTTTAAGCCCAAAAGCACAAATCACCAATTTTAGATTCTATATTTTAGGGCTTAAAAGTGTTTTCGCTTTAAA